CAACAGATGGTTTTCCCTAGACCAAGTGAGCCAAGAAAACCTGCAATATTTTGTATGGCCCCGTCTCAGAAATCACTCCTTATTTCTGCAATATCCTATTGGTTACACAATGGAGGAGAAGACTATCCAAGGACATAAATACCAGGAAGTGAGGATCATTATGAGACATACAGGAGGCTGCCTTATCACAACTGATTAATAAGATTTGGCTACCTATATTAACACTTGATGATGTCATAAATAACATGAAAATAACATTGAAGAAACCCTACCCAAGCTATTACCTTATGGTCAATTACCTACTTATCTAATATGTTCTTCCTCCCCTTTTCAATTCATTGAATCTGACTTTTTTGTTTGTTTGTTTGTTTGTTGAGAAGCACTTGTGCTTACAACAGGATTTCAGAAGTTGTTTATGAGGTGCAAAATCCTAAAATAATGAAGAAATTCCTAAATTATGATTGTTTACTGTTGGACAATGTATCCAATGTAGCATTTGAAGACACTGATTGACTAATCCTACCTTCAAAATATTAAAGCTGACATCAAAATGACAACTATAAAAAGGGCAACAGGCCATATATATCTTTTGTTCTTAAACCAGTGCATGCAGTTGTCAAGAAGGAAGACAAATCATTCAAGTGTTGTCAGTACCGTTATAGCCAAGCTTTCCCAGTAAGAATACCTGCATCAACTGATGGTCCTCTTCTTACCTCGCTCCATCCCCACCCCAGATAACCTTCAGATTACTTAAAGGCTGACAGAGTAGCTCATGATATTGCCTGGTGTTCGATACCAAAATTCCCAAATCAATGGGAAAACTTTACAAACTTAAAAACTGAGCATTTGTTTTCATTTTAAGATACATTGTTAAAAGACGTTTTTAAAAAAAAATTTATTTTTAGAGAGATGGGAAGGGAGGAAGGGAGAGAGGGAAACATCCATGCAGGAGACAAACATCCATTGGTTGCCTCTCATAAGCCCCCAGCTGGGGACTCAGCCCACAACCCAGGCATGTGCCCTGACTGGAAATTGAACCAGTGACCTTTTGGTTTGCAGGCCTGTGCTCAACCTACTGAGCCACACCAGCCAGGGCTAAAAGACCTTTTTGAATGTATAACAAAAACTAAAATTATCATACTAACATATGCCAAGTGCTGAGTTAAGTATTTTGGTTATATATTCCATAAAGTTCTTAAAATATCCTTGTCATAGATATGTTACACATCTAAAAAATAAAGAAAATAGCCCTGGCCGGCGTGCCTTGGTTGGAGTACCATGTTGTAGACCAAAAGGTTGTCTGACCTTCATTCAATTCAATTGAATTGTCAATGTCTGACTCAGGCATTCAATTCCTGGTCAGAGCATATGCCCAGGTGGCAGGTTTGATCCCTGGTCAGAGTTGTCAGAAAGACAACCGATGCCTCTTTCTCACATTGATGTTTCTCTCTCTTTCCCTCTCTCTCTTAGTAATGAAAAAATGTCCTCAGGTGAGAATAAATAAAATAGTAATTTGTCTAAGGCCCCACATTAAATGACGTATCTTGAACTTGAACCCCAGCCCAAACTTTTTGTCAGTATCCCAAACTACCCACATATATTACTCTCATTTAATTCTCTACAAACCCATTCCTGAAATTTAGAAAAATTAAGCAACAACTTGAGAAAGGTCATAATCTAGTGAGTGCGCAGGGACTCAAATCTAGGTCCACCTCTAAATCCAATGTATTTTGCTACAAACATAGAAAAGTAACATATTACAAGTATCGAATTAAGATTAACCCAATAGGCCACTGAAATATGAGGTGTCCTGGAAGACGTTTACCCAGCATTCAATTTATCTATTCAGAACCAGGATTCAAACATTTGACAAAGGCTAGATCAACAATATCTAGCTTCATGTAAGCAACTGCAACAAAAATATTACTTTACCAACTGCCATGAAAAGAATAAGCCTTTATCCAAGTGCTTCTTGTTTTCGTTGGAGAGCTGCCGTGGGGTGCCGTGGGGTGCCGTGGCAGGGAGGGAAAGAAAGAAAAGGGCTTGGAGGATGCTCTATCAGAGCAGGACACTGGATGGTAAGATGTCCGTGTGCAGGGAAGGACTATTAATTTGAAAACAAAATGAATATGCTTAACGGTATCTCACACTTCTAATGTCTGCTCAGAGGGATACTCTAGAATCAGTTTACTAGGAACTCCTCAGACTGGAATATAGCACATCAAACTAGTGCCTTTTTGTTTTCTTTGCTTTCCTTCCTTCTCCCACCTTTCTTTAAATATCCTTTGTTTACAAAAAAAATTTTTTTCTAATGTGTCTAATTTTTTAATCTAAGAGTTCTTTCAAATCGTTTTTGTATTTTGTAAGACAGTGATTTTTTAAAAGTGGAGGACATTTCTTCTAAACCCCATACGCCCTAAAATTCAAGACAGCTTCCTAAATTGCCTTGCTAAATCATAAGACCTTCTTGTGAGTCTAGGAAATTTTGTCTTACTGGCATTATGTCAAAATAATTAAGGAGCCAAATTGGCTCCTGCTAGCCAAAGATGGAACAATTTGAGCATAAGAATGAATACTTTCAATAGCCAGAGATACATTACATTAGAATCCATGAGTTCATACTGATAGAAAAAAAATATTTAAGTAATCCATCCTTTGGAAGATGCTGGAGAACCAACTCTATTCAGAAAATTGGTAGAGAAAGGAAAGAATCGGGAATTTATGTTTCTGACAAGGATTATTTCAGAGTAACCAAATATTTGATGAGAGGAAGGTTTTTAGTATAGAAACATTTGACCTAATTGATAATGAAACAAATAAAATTAAAAATTGCAATTTTGCAACCCCTAATATAATAATCAGTGACTAGTCTTGTAGGCCAAGATCATCAAAGGTTACAGTGATGGTTAATTTTATGAGTAAATTAGACTGGGCTAAAGGATGCCCCAATAGCTGGTAAAACATTGTTTCTGGGTGTGTCTTTGCGGATGTCTCAAAATCCAACACCCATTACTGATTAAAAAAAAAAAATCTCAAAAGACTAGAATCAAAAGGAAATATCCTCAATCTGTTAAAGGGCATCTGCTATAAACATATATCTAATATCATACTTAATAAGGAAAGACTGAATGCTTCCCCTTAATGTCAGGAAAAGGCAATGACATCCATTTTGACTACTTCTATTTAACATGCTATTGATGGGTCTAGCCAGTGCAACAAGCAATAAAGAGAAACTGAAGGTGTATAGTTTGGAAAGAAAGGACAATTGTTTTTTTTAGACAGATGACATGATCTTGTTCCTAGAAAATTCCATGGCAACTACCAAAAATACTACCAGAAAAAGTGATTTTAGCAAGGTTGCCAGATACAAGATCAATAGACAAAAATGGACTGTATTTCTAAATACTCACAACAAACAATACCAAAGTGAAATAAAGCAAGCAATTCCATTCACAATTATCATAAAAAATTAATACCTAGGAATTATTCCAACAAAAGAAATGCAAGTTCTGTATACTGAAAACTATTAAACACTGCTGACTGAAATAAAACCTAAATAGATGGACAGATGTATCATGGTCATGGGTTGGAACATTATGATGGCATGTCTGCAAATTGATATAATACCATCTCTGACACAATCATAGAGGTTTTGTAGAAACTGACAAACTTATCCAGGAATTTATATGGAAACACAAAGACTGAAATATCCAAAACAATTTTGAGGGAAAAAGCCAAAAACCCCAACTTACACCAATTACCTAATTTTCAAACTTATAAAACTACAGAAATTGAGACAGTGTAGTATTGCATATAGATCAGTGAGGTAGGCAAGCAAGTCCAGATATAAAACTACACATTATGTTGGTCAACTGATTTTCAATAAACATGCCCAGGTACTTCAGTGGGGCATAAATTGGTCAGCCATATAAAATATAATGAACTGTGTATTTATATTGGTTGAGATTTTTTGATATGTAAATTATGCTTCAATAAAGATACAAATTATTTTTACAATTATGAGACAAGTTTTAACACTGTATACTTGATATTTAGGAATTATTACTCTTTAAAATAATAGTATCATGCTTATGTGTTTTAGAGTCTTTAGTTTTAGATATATGTGTTAAAATACTTTAGGATGACATGACTTGGAAAATTTTGCCTCAAAATAATTGAAGGGGGCAAAGCAGATGGGCAAAAAAGAGAAAGATCTTGAACTTTTTAATTACTAAAGCTTGGTGATGGTCATATGGAGGGTCATTACACTCTATATTTACTAAGTTTTGTATGTTTGAAATTTCCAAAGTAAACAAAATTTTCAGAAATTTCACAAAGTTGTTTTTTGTGGGGAGGGCTGTTTTTGTGACCCTCCTGTACTCAAAAAAATCATGATCAGTTTCAGTTGCCAGCCATTCTGAACAGGGCATACTGAGGATAACACAGCGCAGTTCTTACTGTTTCTTCTTCATGTAACACAGGTACAACATATGTAGCTCCCAAAATGAGTTAAAAGCCAGCGTTATCACAATAACCATTTTTTCTTGCCAAATTCATCTAAAAAGTAGCCTACAGGTTAGGACTAGGCAGATGGACTGTAGACTGGTTCTGTGCTAAAATTAATTAGCTAATTTGAGAGATAACATGTTAAAATGTCAATTCAGAATGAATAAAAATTGGCATCACATTGTCTGAATTCTATATATTAAGGCATTTGTTTTCCCCTATGGTTTCCTTGAGGGTAGAGACTATGTGTTATTCAGTATGTGAGCTGCCACACTGTAGAGCAGGTGCTCAAAAGTTACTAAAGTTGACTTTATTAGGCTAGCTGAAAGCTTGGGAAAATGATTAAAATAGTTTTTTTTTTTACTTAAAGCACAATCCAAGAAAAAATATAAGATCCATGGTTATAAAAAAACTTACCATCCCCCTACTTAAAGAAATAAAGTAGTAAACAAGTTGGTTTTAAAGTAATGACTTTATTAATAAATATACATCCATATGATGATGTAGATACAAATCATGAACACTACTCCATTCCCATACACATAATTGCACACGAGTAGCTCAAGTTCATGGACATAAAAACATACACAGTATCTATTCAGACTTTTTACAGCAGAGGACAGCGTGCTTCTATCAGTTAATTGGTAACTATTTTCTCCATAATTATCTGTGGAAAAAGGAAAGTGTGAAACTTAAGAGTCAAAGTGGTCTGATTACTATAAATCACACACTTGATTTACTACAGCATTAAATTTTCCAAAAATTAAATACATTATATGTGAGAGCACAGATTTATCTACTTGGAGGTGAAGGGGGGAAAATAAAGGAAAGATTTAGATACATCCTAGAGTTTAATAGGTATAAGTCAGCTATAATAAAAACAGAAACCTAACAGCATTAAAATATTTTATGTCCAAGGAAAAATGTTTTCAACAACTGCTGTGTATTCTTTTACTATAAAGGGATCATAAAATTTTACTGCATATAGAGACAATGACTGACAAAAGTAGCAGTTATCGTCAACATCCCCTGAATTATTCTTTTATTAAAGCTTCTTAGAATATAAAAGAGGTGTGGTTTTTTTTCTCCTTTAGCTCACACTGGTTTTTCTTACACTGGATGGATTACTTTTAATGTAATAAATGGATTCAGATAATTTTTCCCTACTAAACTGAAACTATTATTTCATGAAAATATACATGTAAATTTACACAACCTTCAGTTTGGAATGAATATTGCTCTTATTACTTTAACAGATGTTTCTTTTAAAAAGTAAATAAAAATATAAGAATTTTTTAATCTAATTGAAACACTGATTTAAAAAATGTCCCCAAATATTAAAAATTAAGCCAATACTTTTCTTCAAACACAACATGCCAGTATTTTTTTAATATCCAGTGCAAAACTCCAAAGACAGTATCAAAATCATCCCATACTAAAGATTAGTTATGCAAGGTTATATTTGTCAAAGATGAAAATTTCATCTGCATTAGCTCATTGGTTAATATAAGAATAATAAATAAGGCATGTTAAAATATTTAAAAGACAAAAGTTAAGCAAACTTATTTGAACAGCAGATCATTTTCTGACCAACAGTTTTAATATAGAATAGTGAAACCTATTTTGTGAAGAAGAGAATTACACAATATAAAATTAGCAATTCACCTTTAAAGGAACAATCATACAGTGGGAAGAAAGTCCAGTTCTCCCCAAGTGATTATATTAAAGTATAGGCATTTGTTTAACATGCTATTTCAGTGTTTATCATGACAAGAGACAGTGTTACAAAAGATGCACAATGTAGTCTTTAGATTATAGACAAGTAAAAATATTTTATATTTTAAGACTTCGTGTTATTACGTAGATGTGTCTTTTTTAAAATTTAATCTTTATTGTATTTTTGTCCCCTACCATTTAGACCCCTTATACCCCCTCCCCCCATAAATGTGTCTTTCTCTTCAGCATGGCACCAATAAACTGTTCACAAGGAGAAAAGGAAGTAGGATCAGGAGAGGCTCATCAGCACATAGATCTGATACTCCATTTAACTGCTGACATGAAGAGAAAACTCAGCTTTCTAAACGATGTCATCCATTCACTCCCTTTTCTTCCTGGGACATAGCTCCTGATACTAATAAACACTGTTATGAACATACTTCCTTTAATTGATTTCACCGTTTCATTAAACATGTATAAAAAATTCAGTATACAATAATACACCTGCTTTACCTTCTGACACACCGCACAGCACCACTGAGTAGATGTGCTGGAGGACGAGGAAAAGGGGAGTGAAAGAACGTAGATAAGGCAGGGGGGAAAGGGAAGGTTTTGTATAACAAAATCAGGAATTAAACAAACTGAAAGGGCAATGTCAAATGGACATACTAAAAAACACAACATGCAACCAAATTTACAGTAGAACATTTACTTAAACAACTGTTTTCAGGAACTCAAAAGAGGATTTCTAAGCAGTCAGATGCTGAACATCATCTTGAAAAATAGGTAAATGACAGATACATCGTAAAAATGGATAAATACATGAATAAAGATGTAAGCATTTGTGTGCGTCAGAAGTTATACTGCTTTTAGTAAATTATTAAAATTTTGTATTTTAAGCTTCTGCAAAAAGAAACTCTTGTAGCAATTTAGCTGCCAGAATGTTGCAACTGATTTTGTAGTCATCAAACATTGTTTGCTATGATTTGTGCAAAGTTAAAATTGTTGAGGTCACTGTCTTAGATGCCAGTGCACACACAGCTCCCACATACAATGCAACACTTCTTAGTGTAAAGAGCAGCATAAAATCGAGCTCATTGTGTCAGGCATCACTGGAACACCTGAAGGCTTGCTGCTTTTTTCCTGATAAAAAGGTATGAAAAATGACATACATTTGCAATCAGAGTCTGCACTAACTGAGAGCAAGCCCAAACAACACAATATGCGCCTTTTTAAACTTTTAATTATTTTTAAAGTTTCTGGGCCCTGCAAATCTACATTATAATCTCCAAGGCATTTTAAATGGCAAACACATACACTGTAACTTCAAAGTTCAGTGGAATTTTTTTCAAATCCAAAGTTTGTAATAGTTTATTTAGAACAAACTCAGAATAACTAAAATGTGTATTAAAAAGGATATTACTTTCAGAAAGGGGTCAAGAGAAATTTCCTTCTGCCCCTACTATACGTATCTACCCAATACTTTTTTCTTTTCTATCTACCTTGCTTCTAAAGCAAACACTGTTGGAAAAAAATCTGGTGGGGAGCAGGGGGTAAAGGGGTCTCACTGGAGCCACAATCGGATTTTTAATTAAACTAACCAACACATTTTTTAACATGTTTCATGCATAGGTAGATTCCTATATATTTCTTAATATTTGTGTTCTGACAGTCAGAAAACTGCTTTTTTTGTTTGTATCGGTTTTATAGCCTACCATTCAGTTTGTGTCCAAACCTGAAACCACAGTAAGTTCTAATGCAACGGGACAATTTCTCAGAAAAAAACTAAAAACATTCTGAATAAATGAGTAACAATAATAAATGTTTTAAGCACAATGCTTTGAAACTGAGTATATGAAAGACAAACTGTAGTGAATATAGCTCCATGCAAACCTTAAGAATGTTTCTTTTTCTATTATATTACATAAGCTATTCTCAGAACACATCATATTTCCCCAATAATGTAATGTGCAGTTTTTATTAAAAAGTTTATTTTTTTTGTAAATATGAATTGTTTGCAGTGTTTGGTATATATGCTCTTAGGCGATTAAAAAATATACAACCTATCATTGCTGAAAAGGAAACACTAAATAATTCCTTTTGGAACAATGGTTAAATCAATTAATGCCATTTAGATCAATAAATAAGAAGCTGCCAAAACCTAGAACATTAAAAATAAAAATTTTAACATCTAAAGTCTATGTAAATGCCAAAGCATACAAATGTCTGTGTCTTGTCTCATGAAAACACGTTACAAAATTTCACAGCCATACTTCAAACAATCCTGAATCATTAGTTTGCTTTGTTCCATCAACTAAAAATACCTTAGATATTATCTTTATTATATTGTAGGCTTACTTCACAAACTAATAGGTATAATGGTTTCAGTTGTTTAGCACATGAAGCATCTATTTAGAATAGCCCAAAAGTAGTAATGAAATATGAGACATAACCATACTCTAAAGGAAAAACAAAAATGATTTAGTTAGGTGTTACAGTTGAACCTATGTACAAATTCAATGCCACTGCTCATGCCCTGAGTGCATCTGTCAGCATATGGCGGTTTTTGAGCAAAAGCAGGGGGTAAAAAAACACCCAAACAAACAGGAAAACAAATGTGGAAAGTCCAGGCCATAAAACCATGTATGTTCAAAATAAAACCAAGAAGCTTTGGGATTATTCACAATCTTCCTTTAAACCTGGCCCTCCTTTCCTGCCTCTTTCACTCATTGGGTGGCTTGACTTCGCTGCTGGTTTCCTCTACCCCGTGAACTGCTCTGCCATGCATCATAGGGTAAGGAAAAGCAGCAGTGCCACAGCCATAACCAAGATCGGCAAGACGGGACAGAGCTTTAATGCTACCCGGGGGTCTCCCTGGGCTGACTTTGTATCCCGCAGCTTTGGTTGTACCCAAAGGTCTGCCTGGACTTGTCTTAAATCCAGCCGCTTTGGTGGTTCCCAGGGGTCTGCCTGTGCTGGTCCGGTATCCAGCTGATTTGGTGGTTCCAGAAGGCCGGCCACGCTTACCAGATCGATTGAGATTTTTCTTTTTCTTCAGTTCATCTTTTATCTCTATGCTTCTGCCACTTGTAGTCTGCAAGTGTGTTTCATTTAATGGGTCTTGCCTCTGACAAGCCATTGGTTTGTGGCTGACTGTGTGGCTATATTTGCTTTGCTGGGAGGAATATATGTCAAACTGATCAGCAGCTCTCATGGCATCTTCACTGAGGCAAGAAGGCTTGCCAGGCCCACAGAAAGCGGGATTACTGCTGGCAACAGGATGCATCATTTTCTACCAAAAATAAAATACAAATATGCATAAATATATATACACAAATATATATCTGTATGACAGCATTCAGTGGGAAAACAGTCTGCCTTCCAACAACTATGCAGGCTACCTAAAATTAGACTTAACAGACAGGACTCCAGACCACTTATAAACAAACGCACATCAGCAGATTCAAAGATACTTGTTTTTCTCAATTTAGCCCTGGCTGGTGTGGCTCAGTGGATTGAGTGCCAGCCTGAGAACCACAGGGTTGCAGGTTCGATTCCCAGTCTAGGGCACATGCCTGGGTTGCAGGCCAGATCCCCAGAGGGGGCTGCACAAGAGGCAACCACACACTGATGTTTCTCTCCCTCTAACCCTTCCCTTCTCTAAAAATAAATAAATATAACCTTTTAAAAAAAAATCACAGGTAAAGACAAATGCCATATAAACTCAACAACAATACTGCTTTAGTAGCTATAATATTCTCTGCTTAGAAAACAAAAAGGTGTGTGTGTGTATATATATATAAAAAATAAATCTGTTATATTCTGTAGGAATATGTTCTATATTCCTATATACTCTGTATTCTCTTTTCTTTTAGATCACTAAACCCCAAAAGGATAACAGTAAAGACAAGGACTATTATTAACATGATTCTTTTTTTGTTTGCCTAACATTCTTAGAATGTCTCCCTTTGGCTTTTTATTGTATTTCTCACATGTATATTTCTGATCTAGCCACAGTTTCCACAATGTGGACACTCACTCATTATTATTATTTATACAGAATCCTGAATGTATGTTACACTTTACAAAAGATGGAATGTACCAAACAAAGAACACAATCTCTTGGCCTAATGTCTTGCCTCCCTTCAAACTACTCTATTCAAACTGGAGGAAGTATCGATATAAAGAGTAAACAAAGGTTTCCATTAGCTAAATGAGTGAACATTTACACAAAAATCGAGACTTATACTAGAAAAGTAAGGGTAACAACCGTAAAAAAATATTTTCTATTTTGAAGGTATTATTATCAAGACTAAAAATTGAATGTACAACATTGCTTTCTCCCTTGATCATAAATATGATGTGGATCTTTTTCCCTTATAAGAGCCCTGTGACAATAGTCCAAAGTCTCTGTTTTGTCTGTGAGAGCAACCCTGTGATTTTTTTCCCTGTTTATAAAGGTTGTATTACCACCATCACTGTAACAAGGCCAGGCCTAAGAAGCTGTATCATTAAAACACACAGAAAATGAAGAGTTTACAAAAAAGATAAATATATGGGTTCCAATTCAGGATTAGAAAGAGAATCTCAAATGTATATGAAGGCTTAGCCCCAAGTTGTTAGATCTATTTCCTTATAACCTTACTACATGCAAAATTGCACCAAAACCTCACAAAAGCAGTTACTCCCAGAGGCAAAGAACAGATAATTAATGGGAGTCAAAACCACTGTAAATCTATTTCAGTTTATAAAGGCAAAAGGAAATGGGAATCAAGTCACAGAACTGAAGTCTGTTAAAATTACTAAATATTTGCTAAGAATCAACAGACACAGAGCTGTTGTTCCACTGGCTTAAACTATTAACTATCGAGGAAAAACATCAACACTGAGAAGCTACCTGTTTATGGTAGAAGCCTTATAGACTTCAGAACATAAAACAAGACTGAGCTAAACACAAATATTAAAAGGTATAATTCTTCACTCATTCCCCAGGGATACAATGAGAACTAGGTTATTAATTATCACTAGCTCAAATTCTCATTTCAGATGAGAAATAAGGAGAGATCATCAAAGTGTGTTCAAAATGTATTAATAATTAGCTGAAAATTATCAGTTTTTGAGCATTTTCCATGTGTCAGGTAATAAGCCTGACACTGTGCACATTACCTGATTTAATCATCACCACAACTCTATGAGGAACATACTATTATTAACGGTTTTACAGAAACTGAAGCAGACTTTAGCAAATTCCCAGGGTCACATATTAGGAAATGGTAAAGCCAAATACAAATCCAGATAACCTGCCTTCAGAACCAACAAAATCAGTATAGTATAAAACTATATCAGGGTTTCTCACTAGTAGCACTGTTACTTGGGTCAGGTAATTCTTTGTTGTGGAGGGTTGTCCTCTGCATTGCAAGGTGCTTAGCAGCATCCATGGCTTCTACACATAGATGTTATTAGCTACACCCTCCTCTTTGTCCTCCCAATTTCTGACAACCAACAACTTCTCCAGACACTGCCACATATTCCCTGGGAGACAAAATCCATCCCCTACAATGAGAATCACTCAGCTATACTAAAATGAAAATACAGGACTCAATTTAAAATATTCCTATTTAAGTTTTTATTTACCTCTTTAGTCCTTACCTATTCAAACATTCACAAAACCTTTCTGTTGATAACACCTATAAAGTGAAATAGATTTGCTTTCCAAATTGAAGAAAAGCCAAAATTGGAATTTGTGCAGGAACCAACCACATTCTTCTCCCCTTCAAGTTACAAACCAATTGAGAATATGCACAGGCATGAAACAGGAATCAAAACACTAGTTTATTTCCAATAAAGATGGAATAGAGGCCAATTACAAATACAAAGAGAAACATACTCAGACTTCTGAGAGCAGAATATTGCAAGAGAAAAAGTGACTGCTTTTTCAATTTTATTTTTCAGAAAACACCTTTCTGGAAAGCGCTAGTAAAAAGAGGCAGAAAGGTTAAATTCTCTTCCACAGGAAACACTGCCAGTAAATGGAGAAAATTTTTTTCCCTATAATTTGTTTCACAGCTTTATAATAGTTCATGCCTTTTAAGTTCTTATCACTAACTTACTAACACCTTCCCTCTGGACCTTACTTCCCTTAACTTCATATTCTCTTAATATATCAAAACATTTACCATCTATTAGCACTCAGGATATATAGAGTCTCAACTTACATTTATGTTAGAAGTTTGTTTTATTTGAAAATTTTTATAAGAATCTATTTCACCCAAACTAATGACATATACCGGAAAGTGAGATCTCAAATGCTCCCACGTTAACATTAGGCTTTTGGAGGCAAGGTGCTGTTAAACATCCTTTACTCAGATACCAACCAACATTGGGGAGAAAAAAAACAACACACCATAAAAAAGTAGCCCTGCTGACTGGTGTAGCTCAGCTGGTTGGGAGTCTTCCTGCAAAGTAAAAGGCCTCAGGTTGGACGGGAAGATGCCTGGCCTGCAAGTTCTGTCCCCCTCCTCCCTGGGGCTTGGGAGAGGCATCAGATCCGTGTTTCTCTCCCTCTCCTCTCCTCTCTCTAAAAATAAACAGATAAAATCTTTAAAAAAAAAACTTTCCCAATTAAAAAAGGTAGTCCTCAATTAATAAAAAAGTACCCTTCCCCAATTCCTTTAATCTTTTCCAGAAATTTATGCATTTAGTTTGTATTATGTTAATTTACTTCTGACAAAGCTCACATCTACTGAGGACCAATCCGATGCAAAACACTATTCTAAGCACTAATACACAAAATAGGAGTAAAGCTGTTTATTCCAACAGAAAGACAATAACATACTGACCTAAAGAACATTTCTAAAGGGCAGTCTTTTGTATGTTCTGTATTTTCCTTCCCTGCTACTGCCAAGAAATCAGCACAGTGTTTTCTTATTCCATAACTAAGTAACAAGCTGGGCAAGAAATTTATTTTAAGTTACCCATGTAAATAGTTATCTAAAAAAAGAAACATAGCTAAAACCAATTCTTTTCTACTTTCAGATTTCAACCTGTTAAGGTGCGAATCAGCACCATTAGATCCTTGTTTGCATAAACTATTTATATGTAAGTATACGCAGGCCGTATCTGTATATACAGGCATTAATCCTACACTTAATAATGCTTCCCTACTCCCACTTCAGGGCTTGCCAGCTCACTCTTCTTTCTTGAAAGGCTCTCCCCATACTACAGCACAGAGTTTACTGAAAGTACGCAGAGCACATTTCACAAGTCGGAATTAATGCCACGATTCTAGAAAGCTGGGACTTAATGAAAGCCAAGAGTTACAGAACAGACTGTGTGGATTACCAACAGTTAATTATCTATTAAAATAGTTCACTAAAAATAAGGGAGCCAACTAAGAGCTTCTATATATTTTAACTATGACTAAATTAGATTTTTTAAAGCATACACTAAATTTTGCCGTCCCTGGAGTTGTTTTACGGTGTGTTTAGCCCCTAAAGTCCTTTGGTGAGCTGTTCTTCGTGAAATAATTCCTTTCCGTTCTTTTGAGGGGTGGCAGTCATTACTGCCAGCATCAAGAACTATATTTTTAGTAACTTTCAAAACATTCATGAAGCTTTCTAAACACAGAGAAAGTCTTCCTTTCAAGAATTCCAAGTTCCGCTCTCTTCCAAAGATCCAACATCCCACAATTCTCAGAGATTTATTTCAGGTCACTTGGCTTCGAACAATTGTATAGAATCACACACGAATTTTTAACTCTACATGAAAAGTCCATTTGTGACTCACCCACCTCAATCACCCAGAAAGTCCATGCAGCAAAGACCAAGCAAATGCCAAGAGCTCGGCGTCCTGCCCACCACGGAAAGTTTTGACACTAGGACAGAGCGTATAACGGCCTCCTTTGTCTTCTTTCCACTCCTTAATTGCGCCCCACGGCGCAGTTTCCCCGCTGCCAGAATCCTTAGCTGACAGGAGGCCTTTAGAAACGTAGTACCTGTTGTGCCTGAAAGCGATTATTAACGTATCGGCAATAACAACTTCGCAGACCATACACGCCCACACTAGAAAAAGGGCTGCGTACCCTCCATAATCAAAACCCCTCGCCCGCTGTGCGTGCACCCGGAGTTGTGCAAGCTGTAGAAGTCCACAGGCCACTCCACCGAGACGTCCCCGTCGAAGGAGGGCTGGTGATTCTGACCTCTGAGAGAAAAGAAAGGATGACCCTCCCGCCCGCCGCAAAGGAATTTCCCCCCAATAATGGCTCCAAGCCGAGGGAACAGCAGACTACGTCCGGGGCCCCTCCTCTCGCTCCGGGCTAGGCCAGAGCTCCTCCTCAGGCGCGGGTCCGAGCCCTCGTCTCGCCAAGCTGGCAGGGCCCCGTTCTCGCCACCTCCTAGCCTTCTCCACGAGAGCCCGCGGCCCTCACTCTACTCCCAGCCGAGCTGACAACTCCCCGCGCGTCCACCTACCTCAGCCGCTAGTTGCCCACCCCTCAGCGCGCCCAGGGGCTGCCCATCGGCCGCGAACCTCACGCTGGCAATGCTCCCTCCCAAGCCCGCCGCCTCTGCACTGCAGAGAAGAGCCTAAGGCAGAGTGGCAGACAGCTAGGGCGGCGGCAGCGAGGTGGAGGATGGCCGCCGACTCCGGCCACGGCCAGAGCTCAGGGTCCTGCCCCGGACGCCGGAGGAAGAGGCCGATACAGCCCCGTACTGCGAGGGGGCGGGGTGGGGCGTGCGCGAGCTCGCTAGGGTCGCGCACGCGCACGCGCACGCACATCGCGAGATCCAATCTCCCGCCGACGACCAGCAAGCCAGCTCGGGGAAGGCAACGAGGAAGTCCTGATGCGCTTGCGCGTCGTAGGGACCGGCAGGAGGCGGGGCTTAGACTCGAGCTTCTCAGGGTCGAGTTCAGGCTGTGGGTTGCAGCTGTATTGGAGGAGCCCGCCAAAAAGAAAGTAACTCCCTTACGTGAGTTGCGTTTCACCCCAATTCTGTGATGCTTAAACTACTACCGACCCCATTTCTCAGGATACAGGATTAAGAAATGGGGACAAGATTTGAATCGAACAGTTCCGTTCCAGCTTTTAAGCGCTGTTGGCACAAAGATTTATTTTCTTTTTGTGCTAGGTGCTGCGCCAAGCCTATTAAAAGGACTCAGCCTCTGCCCTTTAGCTGCTTATGGGTGGGTAGAGTGAGACCTCCACCTGCAAACAAAATAGAGGTATCCAAATAGGTGGTGTTTAGACCCTCAGGTCTAGGATTATGTGAAAATGAAATGCTTCATTTTGTGGGACACCTTGTAACTTAGTTTTTACCTGACCACCTCAGAATTGCCATATTCTTCATTCCACTATTACAGGAAGGATGGGACAAAAAGTAGTCTGCTTACAAACTCGCCCACACTCTTATGTAGTTATTGTGAGATTTCTGGCATATCAGTCACCCCATATAAATCACTTGGCAGAAGGGGTTAGTTTCCCCAGTTCTTCCATGAATTTGAAGATGTCAGAGATGACAGTATCCAGAGTTAGGAGGGCTGCTGAGAGCCAGACACTTGACTGGGAGTGCAAAGAGGCTAGTGGTGGATGCCTATACTTTTTGCCCAAGCAAGCAATGTTTGAGATGATTCTTAGCACCAAGCTCTAACATGAGGACAAAGTTCCTTGGTCAAGTTCTACTGTCAGTAGGCAAAGAAAGGAGCAACTTTTCTGGGTGAACACACAAGCCAGGAGGGAAATCAAATTTGGTAGGTAAAATAGGCAGGCCCATTCGTTTTCTGGCAGGCGGATTTCGTAACTTGATTCTAAGTATCATTCTAACTACTATAAAATACTAGAAAACAAGACTGGACAATAAATAAATAGTTTTATTTGTATATAAAAGGAAAATATCAATATATTAAACAGCTAAAATGAGTATACATATTTTAGGGCATATTAAGTGTCCTTTCAACAAACTTCTTTAAAATGTTTTCTCTAAGCATGATTTTTTAAAAAATGGAATCTGAGAATGCATTGTTTCCCATACCGTATCATGACTATTCCAGATCCCTAATTCTTTCATCTGAAATGGCATTTGGACATAACCACTTAACAATCAGAAACTTTTGTATTAACAAGGTCAAGTGATTTACAAGCCCAGTGGAGAAGGAGCTGGAGTAACAGAGAAAGTCAGATATTCCTGATTTTGAATGCCTTTTTGCCATTTGACTCCTATGGTACCTTGGGCAAATCACTGCCCTTTCCAAGATTTTATGTATGAAATGAAGACAATGTCCTTGCAGGGCTGTGAAATTAAATGAGCTTATAGGTGACTACAGATATGATTTTAAATTCTAGGTCTACCACTTTCTAGCTGTATGACTGGACAAGGGATTAGTCAATTCAATTCAACAGGTATTTATTGAATACAGGAAACTACATAATGCCATTTCAGATAAAAAAGAACTAAGATTCAAAACATATACTAGGGATGCAGGATAGACATGCTCCCTGACCTTAAGAAGTTTACATTTGGTGAGGCAGACAAAAACTCAAAATGATCTGGTGTTTTCTGGTGATTATCTCAGGTTGGTCTTAATGAGGTGCTATAGTACACACAATGCAGGTACAATGTACAACTAGTTCTGAAGTAGAGGTTTTTTCAAGAGTATAGCCATTTATTATCACTTCAACTGCAACAAGAACACACTTTTAAATGTCACATTGTTTGACTTACCTTCCATTTCTTCTTCAAAAGTGTACACCCTTGCCTCAACCAGCATGGCTCAGGTGGTTGAGCATTGTCCCAAAAAACCAAAGGCCACCAGTTCGGTTCCCAGTCAGGGCACATGCCTGGGTTGTGGGCCCAGTCCCAGTTGAAGCTTGTGCCGAAGGCAGCAGGTCGATGTTTCTCTCCCTCTCTTCTCCCTCCCTTCCCCTCTCTCTAAAAATTAGTAAATAAAATCTTTAAACCAAAAAATGTACACACTTGTAATACAATTTGGACTCAATCAAACCTTCTCCAATAGCTTCAGCCTGGCCCAGGGCAGGCCAAACCAAATAGGCAAATCACCAATTAACAAGATTGTTGAGTAATAAATGGTATTTGTATATACGCAAAAGAAGGCCATAAAAGGATTTTGTCTGGAGCTGAGAGCTGGCTGCATCTAAAGACCTTTCAAATGAGGCAACAAATGTTCTTAAATACTTTCATTTGAACTGAAAGATATATCTAGAAAAAAAGGAATCTCACTGTCTAGACTTTAGTTCATCAGTAGCCACTGATCGTCCTTACTAGGTATACAGATTATACCAATACCAAAAGGTATAGCAATATTGGAAGATAACCCACTCCCATTTACCCATTGTAGTGATAATAGTACCAATATTTATTGAATGCTTGCTACATATATGCCAGGCACTGTCTTTCTATGCTTTACAGCCTTCTATGTTACTATTTTACCTCATTTTCACAACAACTCTGAAGAATAGGTATTATATCCTCATTTTATATATGAAAAAAAACTGAGACATCAAAGCATTTAAGCAACTTGCCTAAGGTTGTCCAAGTACCTCCCACATATGTAAACTTATTTTTAATTGTGTATATGAACAGTTATACCAACACTGTAACAAAATATTATACACGATATATTTTCTAACAACATACTATGAAACCTACTCAAAAAAATTTAAAGCATGAGATTTTAAAATAAATACAAATAGATGCTCTGGTATAGTCTTCCAGCTTTCCAGGGGCTTACTGTACGTATGCCCCATTTTTGAGACCACTGCTTTGTATCATAGAAGTCAAAAATCCAAGAGCAAAAGAAAGTGATTATCAGTTTTTTTCAAACTTGAACATGTATCACAGAATCATTACCACCCCAGACACACTAATAATAGCAACAGCAGACCAATAAAAAGTTACAGAGGAACTTATGCTCTCTTTGAAGTTCCCAGGCATTCACTGCATTTTCTTTCCACCAAGCTTTCCAAATCTGAAACTTGGGCCTGGGATGGCTTGTGGGATAGAGAGGACTCTTTTTCAAAAATCCACAGTACAGTTCTGGGAATCTCAGCTCCCAGAAGGCTCTCTTAAGCGGACATGGAGAGGAAATACTGCTTTCAAGGATCTTTGCATTGGCTAGATCCAGGCACCTGAGAGACTCCTAGGAATTCAGGAATAAAGGCCAAGTACACTTGAACATCCAGCAGTGCCAGAAGTGCCTGGAATTGATAGGCTGCTAAAAATCCATCTACTACGAAGTGCCAAGTTCAAATGACATGCTTTTTCTGTGGACAAAAAGCACATTTCTCATACTGAATCCCCACATGTTCTTTATTCTATAAATAGGAAAAACTGTAAAAAGGGACTAAGATTTAAAACGTACTACCAGGTTTTTCTG